ACTGTGACCTACCTATTGATGCTGCTGGGTGGACAGACGCGGAGGGGAGGGGAGGCGAGGGATTTTAAGAAATCTGCCGCCGTTATTGCAATTGCCGCGCCGGAAGATCGGATCGGATCGAACGGGTGATCTCTGGATTACCGGCGAAATCAATCGCACCCCGAAAGTGCATTAAGCGCGCATTGCGCAGTTTGGTTGCGTTGGGACTTCTGCCGCTTTAACAATAACCACATAAATAAAACAAGCGATAAAATATACGCATTGACTAATGGGCACTTTGAGAGCTGAGTCTCCTCGTGTACTCTGAGCACGACAGCGCGCGATGGAACGCGCTCAAGTGCCATTAGCCGTGGAAGTAACTCAAACTGCAGCGTTCTGTCCCGCACGGCCCAATTACGGCTCAGAGAGACGTCGCTGAGAGAAGACGGGGGACAAATTAGCCACGGCGCGGGGAGAGCGAGAGACGGGGAGGAGAAGCAGAGAGGGAGACAGCAGCAGCAGCAGGAGAGAGACGACATCACAGAGGCGGACGACAGGACGAAGAGAGGGAGGCGCGGATGAAAATGTGGGATGGCTTTGGTCAGCAGTGGGGAGTTACAGGCTGACCACAACAATAACAACAATCACAAAAATCACTATAATCACAGCAACAATCACAACAACAATAAAAACAACAATCACAATAACAATGTCAGATTATTGCGTCACAGAAATAACAGAAGGAATAGAGTGAATGGCTTGTAACTTTCATCATCGCCATTCAGCCATGATCAATCTACTGCTGGATAAAGGCTTCCCCAAGCCACGGCCAATTCTCAAGGCCCTGCCGTGTGATGATCCCACGAGCACCATCACACGCGAGCTGATTCCATTGGTCCATCTCCACGCACGGATGAGTTCCATCCCTTGGCCGCCGTTCCCATCAAACATCCTTCACCCGCGGCCGTTCACCCTGACAGACATGACGCGTCTTGCCCAAGTCCCCTCGGTGTTCTCAACAGCCGACATGACGTCATTCACCTGCGAACCTTCTCTGGCACGCAAATGTAATTCCAAACGTCAAATATTATTTTTGTTGCGCACTCGCCAGTTTTTTGTGTTCCATAATGTTTCGTTGTATAAATCACGATTAATTATCATGTTATTATTTCATATTATTAATTAACCACCATGAGATGACTAGAGGATGTGGCGGAGACGTCAAGGAGACAGCGTGCGTGCTGCAGCAGCAGCAGCATCGAGGGCTGCTCCGTCGGCAGGTCACCGGCCCGGGGCTCCGGCGTGACCTGCGCTGTGCCACCAAATGCCGAGGCTCGGCAGGCGCCGGCCACGTCCAGTCGACGCCTCTTTCTGTTTGTTTGTTTGGGCCTCATTTCACGATCGCCGCTCTCGTTGTCGCCCTCAGCAGCCGCACCCTGGTTTCATGTCGTACTCGCTGGCTCTCGTCCACACGAGGAAGCCTCCTCTCCTGCACTCCACCGTGCCCGCCCACACTCTCCCTCCTCCTCCCCGCCCGTCTGCATCCCTCCCACCCCAAGCTACCCAAACCCTCCTCCTCCTCCTCCCGCTCTGGACCACTTCGCTGCACCACCTGCCTGAGGCCATCGGTGCATTCCGCCATCAAACCGCAGGCCTCGGTGGGGCATCTGTAGCCCCCGCGTCTCCACCTCTGCAAAATGAAGGGCAGTGAAGGCCGTGCCAATTTATTTCCAACAGCATTTCCCTTGGGGAGGGGGTGGAGGTAAGGGGGGAGGGTGGGTCACCTGGAGGAACTAACAGTACCTCTCTTCACTTAACCGATTGAGCGCCCACACTGTTGCCTCAAAAGTGTGAATTTCGTATTGACATTTTTTTTTATTTCGCGTTCGGCGACCGCGCTATTCCGCGCCCGCGCGAGCAGCCGTCACCGCATCGCCGTGCCCGCCGAGATCGTCGTCTCTGCACTGCGATTAAAATCACCCCCCCCCCTCGCCCCCGCCGCCGGGTCCCACGTTCCCAGCGGCGTCCGCGGCTGATGGGTGGAGCGGTGGCGGTAGAGGAGGCGCAAGGCACGGCGCGCTCTGCCCGGCCCCCTGCCCAACGTTTCGTGGCCGCTACCCCGCTCACACAAAGCCGCGATGCGCCGCCGCGATGCACGATGAGTAAATGGTGAAGCAGTAGAATGTTTTATGTTTTTGGTCCGTCGAAAAATTGGATTTAGTGACCCATATTATCCGGCGGCATCGTTTAGGAAGACAATTCTGGACCCGTGTTGACATTCTTGGTCTCATCGGCAGAATCGGGGCTTGTTTAAAAAAATGCTGCCGTCTTAGCAGATGTTATTGGCAAGAGCACTTCATATAAATTATGGGTCTCTGATCCCCACAAAATAGGCAATATTGTACGCAAACGTGTTACGTTTTATTGTGGAGCGTCAGGGGTAGAATTTATATTTTCTGAACTGCGTTCTGTCTCCACACATAAATTAAATGTTTAGTCAATTGGCATATTGGCTTTCTAGACCAATATTATCCAGCAGCACCATTTGTTTAAGCAATCAAACCCTGGAATGGTTTTGACCCTTTGGCTCTCATTACCATTGTTTAACAAGCCTGACCTTGCTGATGAGATCTAAAATGTCAAAACCACAACTACACGCGGGCGTAATTTCTCACTCAGTGTTTTTTTTCTTCCAGATCGCTGGTAGAAGTGGATTCGGTGGCACATGACCAGTAGCCGCAGACACAGCGAGGGTAATACTTGATGTGGTGTGCCGGGTGCGAGACAATTTCCGGGTCACGCACCCAGACAGACCCGGTTGGACTTAAGCCCCCCGGATCTATCACATTCATCTTCGTGGCATCAGCTCCCCTTAATGCACAGCACGTGTGTGGGGGGGGGGGGAGCGGTAGCGCAGTGGTTATAGTACTGCGCTATGTAACAGCCGGTCCGAGTTCGTTCGATTCTGCGCTTACGGCCAAGGTCAGTGACGAATATTTGAACCTGTCCTGGGCCTCCCTTAGGTCAACTCAGCTTGAAATGAGTGCCTGGTGCGGTGTGGAAACATCGCCACTGGGGAGACAAAAGCGGCCGGGCGTGGTGCTAAGTCACCACACACCGTCGTGTGTGGTGCCGGACATCATAGGTGTGACGTAAAACAGCACTTGCCTCAACAGCCTGAAAAGGCTATACGGGGGACATCTATCTTGATAATTATTATTAATAACTGAATTATTATTATTTTAAAATAACTGGAGTCCATTGGCTGCGCATTGCGCGTCGAGTTTGTGCGGCGGTGGTTGTAGCACTCGGGTTGACGTTTCAACGTTGCCCCTTCGTTTGGAATTCACCGGATTTTCACTCGCGATTTTATTGACATCGACCACCCCCCCTCCACCTCCAGCCCCCACCCCCCCGTCCCAAAGCGTTCCGAATCAATCATGGATAATTCACAATTGATTCGAAATCAAAACGTAAAATTCTCCCAAGCCCCCAGTGAAATGAAATCATCGGCCATAAACCTAACGGCCGCATTTGCACCATAAGCGACCAGCCCCTCCCCACCCCGCCCACCGCCCCCCACGACGCGACGCAGTAAGTAAATAAATAAATATGTTGTTTAAAAAATAAATAAAGCGAAACTATTACAAACAAACAAAAAAAATCTCGAGTTTGCCTCCGCCGGCTCTGGGGGTAATTCCGATGTCAAGCGATCGAGCTGCGGCCTCTCTCTCCCTCCCGATCCCTGGGTTCAGGCCCCTGGCGAGACAGCCACAAATTGGTGCCGCTCCCTCGGGGTGGGGGGCGGGGGGGGAGAGGTTCTGGAGCGTTGCCGCGTTTGATGGCCTCGGCGCACTCGCCCGTGGCTTCGGCGTTTCCCTTCGAAATTGGGCCCGGCGCTGTATTTGTAAATTGGTGCCTCTTGTTGTAAGTCTGCTGCTGCGAGGGCGCGCAATCGGTGAAGGGACAGATGATGTCCTCTCCCTCCCTCTCTCTCGTCTCTGTGTCGCAGTTTTAGAGGCGCTTTCCCGTGACGCGACTGAAATAAAACGCAACGCCATCATCATCTCTCTCTCCGCTCAGGGATAGAGTCCAAAGGGTTAGAGCAGCGGTTCTCAACCTATGCAAGGCATCTGTGGGGCAAGACCATTCGCGCGACGGCAGTGGTAGCGTTGTTATTTTTGTGCGTTAATCTATTGATTTTTGTTTTTATCGTTTTCGTTGATTCGGAGGCGCGGGGACCCACAGACGAGCGGGAAGGCAGATAGAGCCGGCGTCACCAATCTCGCCAAAGCGCTTGTGGTCCTACATTGGGGTGTGTGGACAACTCCGTTAATAATAATAATTGTTTATACACGCGGGGAGAGAACACCGCGCGCGATGGACGGTACATTGAATCTCCGTATGGATGGAATACGGATGGAGATGAATCCACTTGCTGTACTGCCATCACACCCTGGCAATTCACCAACCCTCACTGCCTCCACAGTGCGGGATCACAGCCACGTGCAGCACTGCCACCCAGCATGTTGAGATGACATCGTCTTCGGTGTTAACACGTCCTACGTGTTAATTACGTGCACATAATTACAATGAATGTTTTCAACCGTTACATTAATTACAAAAGCTATATGATGGCAGCGCACGTGGACAGTTGACAGGCCTGGTAGGGAGGGCATGTGACAAGCAAACGTTTGGGAACCTTCGGCTCAGAGGTTGGAGGTCAGGGTTAGAGCTACCGTGAGGGTCGCGTGTCTATTGGCTGACCGGTGACCGGCAGAGGAGGAGGCAGTGATGCCCCTGGCCATGGCAATCGTCCTGCGGTGATCGCTGCGCTCAAGGTCAAGTGTCGATGTCAGATCACTTGCGCTGCGTGGTGAGCAGCAGAGGGCAGTGCGGCAAGATCAATAATTGTTGTACTGCACTTCTGTGCTCTTCCTGGTCTATGCTCCCGGATTCACCGATCAGGGCTTGAGCGAGAGGGTGCGAGCGAGCGAGCGAGCGGGGGAGCGGTCACTCACGGCGATGAGGAGCTGGGTGGACGAGTGGATGACCTCGAGGTGCTGGTACTGCAGGAGGCACCCGGGCACGGAGATGTAGGCCAGGCCAGCAGTGGCACGGCCTGGCGGCGGCTCTGCCGGCGTCACGCGGCAGCCGGGCCCGTTCTCTCTCCACCACGAGCGGTGGATGGACGCGTGGAAGGTCAGCGTGTCGCTGTCCTGCTCGCGCGCAAAGACAAAGACAAAGCTGTCGCGTGTAGCTGCACAGAAAGTCGGACACGACCGATGAGAGATGGGGAAGGTTCGCTGCGGTGGGGGGGGGGGGGCGAGGGGAGGCCCCATGCAGAAGAGACGGCCAAATCTGAATATTTATACTGGAAGAATCTGATGAGCTATAAAGCTCTTTTCATAGATTGTCCAGTAAGCAGCTGCTGTAGGCAGCAGCGAGACGGAATAAAATAGTTGGGAGGCCACGACTAGACGTGAGAGCAGCGAATGAAGGAAGAATAACAACCCTCTGCAACACACAAGGGGCAAGTGGCGCTTCTTCACGGCACGAAAAATCGCCACTGCCAAACGCACACAATGTGCCGAACCGACTTTCCTGTGGTCTGTCAGAGTCAAAGTGGGTTCCGCCTCAAACGAGCGCCGAAGCATCGGTGCTCATCTCCCGTCCACAACACGGCAGAGCCACAGTGGTACTCGTTTTATCGGCCCCGGAGCGACGATGATTGGGCTCAGTTAACCCTCAACCGCATTTTGCCTCTTTCGGGGCAGCGTTACCGACGAACGTGCAGAGTGCTTGTTGTGCTTGTCCACCACGAGCTCCAAGCACGACGCAAGCACGACGCAAGCACGACGCAAACGCGACACAAACACGTGTATAAAGCACAGAGCCTTTGTGCAGGAACTTTTGGTGTTTTTTACATCATGCACGAAGGCCGTGTGCTTTGATCACATGCTGGTGATTGGTGTGAAGCTCGTGGTTAGTTTTCCGGCCTGGACTATTCTTCTCTGGTGGACTTTTCTCGTCAATTACAAATTCAGATTGTACTCATTTGAGGCTGAGTCAACCTAGTGGAGGCCCAGGTACGGGTCAGATAATCTTCACCGTTGTCGGTGGCCGTGAGCGGGAATCGAACTCGGGTCGCCGGGTTTGTAGCACAGGGCGCTAACCGCAACACGACAAAGACAAAGATCCCAAATTATAGCCTCTGACAGACTGTAGGGGCAAGTGTTGTTAGCGAGCACCTATGAAAGCCGGACACACGCCCGCACACACGCACGCACACACACGCACACACGCACGCACACACGCACACACGCACACACGCACACACACACGCACACACGCACGCACACACACACACGCACGCACACACGCACGCACGCACACACACTAACGCACGCACACACGCACGCACACACGCACACACACACACACGCACACACGCACGCACACACGCACACACGCACGCACACACACACACACGCACGCTGTCTCCAGTCGCCTGGCTAGAACCCAGCGAGCGATCTTCGTGAATTACAAGCGCTGTCAAAACAGCTTGGGAGCTGCTTAGCGAAATTAAACACTTGTCCAAAATGAATGGCCACCTGGAGGCCAAGTGTGCCGAGAAAGGTTGCCAGAATTAACAACGCGTCTTTTGTGAGATGAACGAGATTGCGGGCAGCAGCAGCGACTCTTAAACCCGTGTCGAGGCGCCACCAACCCGATTTAAACCCTCCCACTCTCTCTCTCTCTCTCCCGGTCTCTCTCTCCCGCTCGCTGTTATGTTCATTATCTTGTAAAAGATAATTGCCTGTACTGCTTTGAAGATATGGTACCTTTGGTTGATGGTGGTTGTGGTTGATTGACTTGGTGGCAATGGTTGAGTTAGTGGTGGTTGAAATGGTTGTGATCATGGTTTGGGATGTGTCGTGGTTGTTGACAGTCAAGATGTGTTTGATCTCATGGAGATGGTTGAGGTGGTGGTTTCTTGGCCTATTCTCTTATCCTCTGGCTTCTGGGTTCGCTGATACGAGTCGGACCTCCTAGTGAGAAATAAAGATTCTACGAGCATCTCTCTCCCGCTCTCGCTCCCTCGCGAGAGGCAGCCAAGCGCCACGCCTGGGCGTAATTGCACGGCTCCGAACAAAAGTAATTCATCTTCCGAGAGCTTTCAATGCGGCTTGACATTTATTTAATGTCTAATTAATAATAATCATAACAAATGATACGGCCTCGTTTAATTTAATTTGATAAGCCGTGCATTATAATTAGATTCTTCTTCCTCTTTCGTCCGTCGTTTGTTAACACACGGGGCTCGATATAATACGCGCGTGGTCGTGTTCCGCCAAATTATGTAATTACCACGAGTTGTACCATCGTGTTAATTGTTGCCATCACCGCCATCGCCTTCCACTCCAGTGATCTCTCCGTTCTTTGACACCGACGTCCGCATTTTGGAATTAGCCGGTCATGTTCCCCGAGTTCGAGGGTTCGAGTGAGACGATTGAGGGCGTGCAGTGATTCATCCCGTTGTATCGGCATTCATCACCGCCCCATTACCGCTCTAGGTTAGGCCCGCGAAAATGATCACGCAGAGGGTTTACCGATCATTGTTTCATCTCGCTGTTCTTTGTCCGGTCAAGTCAAGCGTCGATGTATCTCCACGCTTCGACGGAATTCCACATTCCGGTGACAGGGAGATAGTCCACCGCATATTACAACCACTGTTGCCCTCTAACAAAGTCGAACAAGAATAACGATGGTCCGATGAGACCTCGGACCCTGATCTGAACTCACCACCGTTCGAATCTGAAGCCCTTTGATCACTGCACTGCTGGACGCGTGGCCGTTACACCCGGAGATGAATCGCGAGCGACGCGCGGGCCGCTGGGCCGGGCAGTCTCGGGAGAGATCGAAGAAGCTGCACCTCGCTCGGCGCGGGAGGGGGGGGGGGGTTGAGGCGTTGAGCCACGGGGGCAGGGGATGCCGGTGGGTGGGTGGGAGGGTGGGGGGGCAGTGTGGGTCGAGAGGGGGCAAGACGGTGGTGGGTGGAGGGGGCGACCGTTCAGGTGCGACGGCCGCTTTCATTTCCCGCTCGGCTGAGCAGGGCCGCGATGTCTCTATTTACGAGGCGGCGGCAGGCCGGAAGCCGGCTACTTGCCGGTGAGTTAGAGTCTTCTCACGTGGCTGGCCCCTCCGATAAATCCCATTGCCAATGGGGGGCGGCGGCTGCAAGCACTGCCGCGTTAACCCGTGCGCTGGCCCCGACAGCCGGGCCCGTGCCATCATCGCCGGCACGGGGCTCGGAATCGGTGGCAGCCGATGGGCGAGACTCGTGGCGACAGCGTGGCAGCCAAACAGGAGGGAACGCAACGCGTCCGAGAGGATGGAGGCCGAGGAGATGGAGCGATGGAATTATCTCTCGCGTGCAGGTGCAAGGCGGATTAGCAAATCGGCCGGGCGTGGTGCTGGCCACCTAGCCCCTATGTGTGTAGTATCGGCCTTCATAGGTGCTCGCTAACAGCACTTGCCCAAAACGTCTATTTAGGCTATACGGAGGGATCTTTGACTTTAATTATATCGCAGGAGCGTGAGAGATGGTGGAGGATTGGGGAGGTCTTCATCCAGTAGTGGATTGACCGTGGCAGTTAATGATGATGACACCCATTCATCGATGTTCGTATCAGCGGCGAATGAGGAGGGTGCTCGAGAAGGCCTCGACCGTCGGTGAGAAGGCGGCTCAAGGAAGAACAAGTGCCGAGCCGCGGGGGATTCAAGAGGAGACCCGCGCTGCGTAATCCGCGCACTCTGGGGGCTCTCCGCACAAAGTGTTAAACGAGATAAAGTGGAATTACGCAGCGCAGAGGATTCGGGAAAACAAATGGACTCGGAGATTACGACGGATTTTTCACTCGTAATGAAACGTTAAACGTATAAAAAAAAAGTCGCGGCGGTTCCATAAATCAGGGGGCGTCTGCTCGTCTTCGACAAAGACATCGGCGAGACCGATGACGCAAACCGACGCCGCCTCTCCACCCCCCATCTCCTCCTCCCTCGCGGAGGTGAAAAGATATCATCGCACACGAGGCCCCCCCTGTGAGCGGTGATCACGAGCAGACGACGCGGCCCAGCGGCAGTGGAGAGAGAGAGATGCCGACAAGAGACAGGGATGAAGTTAAAAGAGAGAACTTGCTACAGACAACACGCGATTATGGAGATTAATCCGCTGTTTATGTTCATTGGCTTTTGAATGTGAGCTGATATTTGGTGCACCCCGATTGCTGCGTGAATCCAGTGCCCATTGGAGCTGATTGGGGGCCCCGAAACTTCCGCTTGGGCAGCGAAGTTTGCCCCGACTCTGTTCCTCGGCTCGAGACCACGGGGCGGGGGGCTCCCCCCCCCCCCCCCCCCCCACTGCACTCTGCCGCGTACCGGTGGCTGGAGGGGGCTGTTCATCATTGAAGGCCCCCAATGCGAAAACAAATTTACAACCAGTTACTATTCTCATGCAATTCTCCGGCGCGTAGTACACGTGCAGCCCCAAACGAAACTATTGTATCTATTTACCAGCCCACTGAGATATATCGCCTCTTTTTCCTGAAGCTACCTGGCCACAAATGAAAAGAAGTGGTTCATCACGTGGACATTTATAGCAGCAAAATACTCTAAACGCGTGTTTCTGAATGGTCGCGTGGACACGCACATATACAGCAGGCGTCAGGGTCGGGATCGAACCCACGACCTCCTACATATCAGGCGAGGTAGTTAACATCTCACCACGGAGAGAGAGAGAGACACGCAAACTCCAAATATACAGCAGCAGCAGGCATCGTCAGGGTCGGGATTGAACCCACGACATCCTGCACACCAGGCGAGGTAGTTAACATCTCGCCACCGCGACAGCCTCGTGGTAGGGCTGCTATTGCTCGCTCACCCCATTGCGAGCGGAAGCATCTCCAGTCGGGAGAGCCGCCCCACAGGGTACTTTGGTCTACTCTTCCATGCTGGCCTCGTCGTTTTTGAAGAGGTGACAGTACCCACACTTTACCCTACCTGCCGATCGACTCACCGCAGTTCACCCACTCGCACTGCTGGGCTGGACAGGGGCGCAAGGGTGGGTTGTGGGTTTGGGGTTCTGAGAACCTTGCACCGTTTGTCGCGCCGGTGTGTCACAGTCGAGCCCGGCGGGCTGCGGGTCTGCAGGTCCGGTGCGCTGAATCGTGACAGCGCCACCGACTGTGGCAGCGGCGTCTAGCCGAGACGAAGACGCCGGGTGGCCGCGGGCGTTGTGGCGTTCGGTGCCTCGGCGCCCGCTCGCTCGCTCTGGCGCTGCGCCACGCACGGTGCCACGTGGGGAACGTTGCACGGATCGTTGCGCACCGTGCGCTCTCTCGTCATTCTATCTTTCTGTACCGAGTTGGTTTTGGTGTTTTTTTTGTTTGTTCCACGTACGCACGCACGCACGCGCGTGTGTACGTGTGGCCGTGAGGGTAGTACGCGGCGAGAAACCCATCTCGCCGCGTTTTCTTGTTCGGAATCGGTGATCCAGAACGCAATTACTGAACCTGCCTCCGTCTCTTTCCTTAGAAAATCATCCCCCCCCTGCGGGTGGGGGGGGGGTTAATTTGCATAATTTAATACAAATCATGTTGTGCTACTTTGTTCCTCAATTAACCCCTTGTCGCCCACGTGACGGTGATCCACGAGTACGGTGCAGGGCGGCGAGGAGGCTCCGATCTGCAACTATCGATACGGAGGATGGAGACGTGGGGAGGAAGCTCCGATCTGCAACTATCGATACGGAGGATGGAGACGCGGGGAGAAGGAGACGTGGGGAGGAAGCTCCGATCTGAAACTATCGATACGGAGGATGGAGACGTGGGGGGGAAGCTCCGATCTGCAACTATCGATACGGAGGATGGAGACGCGGGGAGGAGGCTCCGATCTGAAACTATCGATACGGAGGATGGAGACGCGGGGAGGAGGCTCCGATCTGAAACTATCGATACGGAGGATGGAGACGTGGGGAGGAAGCTCCGATCTGAAACTATCGATACGGAGGATGGAGACGTGGGGAGGAGGCTCCGATCTGAAACTATCGATACGGAGGATGGAGACGCGAGGAGAAGGCTCCGATCTGAAACTATCGATACGGAGGATGGAGACGTGGGGGGGAAGCTCCGATCTGAAACTATCGATACGGAGGATGGAGACGTGGGGAGGAGGCTCCGATCTGAAACTATCGATACGGAGGATGGAGACGCGGGGAGGAGGCTCCGATCTGAAACTATCGATACAGAGGATGGAGACGTGGGCGGTGCTGCCCGAGCGCGTTCGCCGCTTGTTGCCGAAGGTTCACGGTTCGATTCCAGCGGCCACCCTGGTTATTACTCTGGGTGTATTAACTCTCGTGATGATGAAAATAATAATAATAAGACTAGCACGTGCCGGTGGACATTAAAGATCACGTGATATCGTGCCCAGGCCACTGTGTCCCGGCGGCGTCGTTATCCAAATTCGATAAATGTTTAAATCCCGCAAAATTACTCGATGGTAATAACCAACCCCGACTATTACGGACACCTGGCAGGACCCGCCTGCAAGAGAGTCATGAGACTCGGTGAGGCACTCCCGGGTAAACGAGCGTAGTAGTAGTGATACTAATAGATAATACATACAGTAGAGAGGCTGAGAAAGAGGGGGGGGGGAGATGAGGTAATGGCGACATTCAGATGCTGCAACAACAACAAGGACGGTTGCGAGGGCCGAGATAACAACCACACCCTCACCACACCCTCGCCACACCCTCTCACCATAGCCTCACCCACCCCCACTCACCATAGCCTCACCCACACCCTCACCACACCGTGATTGCGCTCTGACTACGCCCTCAACACAACACGTTGAGACCGAGACTGTCCGGCTATCCCAGGGCGTTTGGTAGCTCTGTGATAAACAGAACACACTTGTTATATTTAATTGCTATATTTAATTGTTATATTTTATTGTTATATTTCCCCTGCTCTGGTGTTGGTCAGCATACATCACGATGACGATCACTCATCACGATCACTCATCACGATGACGATCACGATCACCGTCACGATGACGATCACCATCATGATGACGATCACCATCATGATGACGATCACCATCACGATCACCATCACCATCACGATGATCGCCGGTTGGTTTTGACAGCGCCGCCGCCCTTCTGTACTCCGGGGCGTCTCTCACTCAGAGCGCTCGACGCGCGATCGAGCGACGGCATCGCGTCTCGAAGGCACTTGAAAGGGCACGTCCAGTGGGCAGCTGTCCCTGTGCGGCACAACGCGACTCAGCACCCCACCTGCGAGCGGGCATTCGTCTGCCAGTAGATGGGGGGAGGGGCGATCATCGCTGCTGCTGCTATGCCTAGTCCCGACTGGGTAATTTTTCATTATCGGCTCACTCGAATCAAGTCACGTGATGAGATCTTTAACGTCCGCTGCGAAGGGCGCGTCGTGTCGTACGGCTCACGCGCCGCGCCGCAGCGAGAGCCCCGGGCGTCCTGCTGAGTTCGAACGCCGAACCTCTGCCACGAGCGGCGGGGGCTCTTCCCCTCGCCGTGCCGCGTCACCCACCGCGCCATGCCGGGCACGCGTCCTGACCAAGCGGATTGGCACGCGTGGTGAGGTGCCGGTGCATGCCGCTGCGTGTGTGACGCGCATCGTGTGGCATTCAGCGCTGCGCTGCGCTCCCAACCGCGGCAATCAGAGTTCCATTCCCGCTCACGGCCACCAACACCGGTAGTGACGATTCTCTGAACCCGGTCCTGGGCCTCCGCTAGGTCGACTCAGCCTCAACTGTGTACATGGTGCGGTGTGTAAACATCTCCGCTAGGGAGACAAAGGCGATCGAGCGTGGTGCTGGCCACTCACCCCCTCGTGTGTCGTGCCGGCCTTCATCGGTGCTCGCTAACAGCACTTGCCCCAATAGTCTGTTGAAGGCTATACGGGGGATCTTTGTGTTGGAGCGTGCTTTTGTGTTTTCGCAGCGTGATGTGAGAGTAACCGCGTCGCCATGTCTTGACTTTGTCTGTCTGTCACGCTTGATAAATAACATTAATGAAAAAAAACCACCACCTCATCCTCTACCACCACCCCCACCACCAGCAGCACCACCGTGTAACATCAATATGCACAGACGCAGATTAAATTAGTATCGGTGATATGGCTACACACAAAAAATAAGCCTGACAGCTTGCCAATTTTCCAGAGGATCAGTGAGATTTGTTGTAATTATTAATAATTAGAAAGATTCAATTAATTCCCTTTTATGTCATCCACCACCCAACCCTTCCACCCTCTCCAGCGTATGAAGGACTTTCTGTGCGTGTCGGACAAGGGCGCAGCCCTGCAATTGCTCACTCAACCCACTGCTGGTGGAAGGACCTCCGCTAGAGGTAGCTCTAGAGAGTGCGCCTCTCGTGGGGATCTTGGCCTACTCTTCCACAATGCCCAGACACCTTAGAAGACGTGAGGATACCCAGACGCGCGACCTGCCGATGGACGAGTTGTTCACACTGCCCGGCAGCCGCGGGATATCAGCGACTCGCCAGTCGACACAGCACAACAAGCCGCCGCCATGCGCTGCGCCCCATCTCGTCGCGGGAGATGAGCGGCTGGGGGGCTGGAGAGCGCTTTGGATGGGCGACCGCCGTGCGTTGCCGCACGCTTCGTTGGCGCCAGCAGACGGCAGTGCTGATAAGCCCGGAGTTGTACCGTACGTCTATGCTCCCGCAACTATGTTTTCTCCGCCGTCACCAGCGCGCACTCACTTGCCCGTTCAATTGACGCGCGTCACCTCGGTGTCATCAAATAGCTCCCCGCGACCAGCAAGGCGCGGAGAGGCCATCGTCCAGAGCGGTTGTTCTACGGGTATACAACTGAATCTCGACCATAGAAATGTGGAATTTCCATCACTGGTCGGAGCCCCAAGGCACCGAGCTTGAAGCACTGCGCTGCGAGTGTCCAGTTGCGCGCACCTGGCCTGGCACAGTCGCCGTGGTGACGGTTTTTGGTATCGATGTGTGTTTTGCACCGTGACTCTGTGCCAGTTAAACATTCACAACATTTATCTCCGTGTGTGTGGCACGTTCGATTAATAAAGTTCAAGTAAATTTAAAAACAACTTAAGCAACGGCCACATCAATAACCGCGGACACAAATTCAATCAGTCTTTGGTAAAACGCGCATTTCTAAAAAAAAAAAAAACCTGTCAGCTTGCAGATTTTCCAGATGATCGGTCAGGTTTGCTGTGATTATGAATTATGAGAAAACATCAATAATTCCTCCGGTGTCAGGGCAGCGCGAAGCAAGTCGCGCGCTGGGAGAGAGACAAAGGGGGCCGAGGGCGACGCACCTTGGACAGGCCTCCGACTTCAAGGTAGAAGCAGACGAGGAAGACGTTCCACGAGACCCACAGCACCATCCACACGGCGTACTGCGCGCACAGCACACACAGCACACACCGTGTACTGCACCCTGTGTGGACTGCACGGAGTACTGCGCGCACAGCACACACAGCACACACAGCACACACCGTGTACTGCACCCTGTGTGGACTGCACGGCGTGCTGCGCGCACAGCACACACGGCACACACAGCACACACCGTGTACTGCACCCTGTGTGGACTGCACGGAGTACTGCGCGCACAGCACACACAGCACACACAGCACACACCGTGTACTGCACCCTGTGTGGACTGCACGGAGTACTGCGCGCACAGCACACACAGCACACACAGCACACACCGTGTACTGCACCCTGTGTGTGCTGCACGGCGTGCTGCGCGCACAGCACACACATCACACACGGCACACACCGTGTACTGCACCCTGTGTGGACTGCACGGCGTACTGCGCGCACAGCACACACAGCACACACCGTGTACTGCACCCTGTGTGGACTGCACGGTGTACTGCGTGGACAGAAACGCACAGCACATGGCGTATTGCACTCTGTGTATCGCACTGTGTGTGTATCTTAGGATGTGTGTACTGCACTGCACTTTGTGCATGGTGCACTCAACGCGCACAGCACGTGATGTACTGCACTCGCAGCACCTCACACAGCACCACACACGTGATGTATTGCACTCGCAGCACCTCACACAGCACCACACACGTGATGCACTGCACACGCAGTGCACTGCACACACAGCACCACACACGCATGACACTGCCCACAGCACCAGACACGTGATGTACTGCACACGCATGACACTGCCCACAGCACCTCACACGTGATGTACTGCACACACGTGGCACTGCCCCCCACCTTAACACGCCGCTAGATATTACAATCACTGCCTCGGGTGGCCGGCAGCGTCAGCCAGTCGCCGGCAGAGTTTGCGCGTCCCTACGATGGCGCGGGCGTGAGTGAGAGGTGGATGTGTCTTGACTTGGCTGCGGTTCGACTTTATAACGACGACTCGGTTCGCTCCGGTGGCGCTGACGCAGCGGCGTCCATCCTCCTCCTCCTCGTGCTGCTGCTCGCCTCTCGGAGTCACCACTCGCCGTCGCGGGCGACCCCTTCGGGTCGAGGTCGCGGCCGGGTTTCGGGGCCGGGTGGATCGAGGGTGAGTGAGGAGCAAGGGAGTGGGGGGGGGTCCCCCGGCTCCGCGTGGTGTGATAAATAAATAAATAATCGAGGTGGCGGAGCGGCGCACGTGCAGGAGAGGGTCCCACCGCCGCCGCTGCTGCTGCTGCTGCACTCTCGCCCCCACAGCGAGCAGCAAAGGCACCTGCCACTGGATTCGAACCCGAGGGTTCTCGTCGTCTCCGACGGTGTGTGTACACACACACAATGGTGTGTCCCCCCCCCCCCCCACACACTCACACAACGGGGCGAGGGAGTGAGACGGCGGGCAGCTGGATGACCCAGCCCCCCTAAGCATCGCAAGACGAGGAGGCACAATAACTCCCTGCCGGCCACAGCAGCACCGGGTCCTCTACCCCACGTCGGCGTCTCCGCTGTCGCCTCGCGAGGATCGTCTTGATTCAGGGGTCTGCGACCTGCGACTGCGGAGGGCCGCGTGCGTCTCTCTTCAAGGGCTGCTTCGTGGCCGCCGTGCAGCGAGCACCGCCGTCTCGTGTTCACACGAAGTGCAACGCGGCTCTTCACGTATTGGGGGTTTTTGTTACCGAATTTTTTAAAAAAAGGTCTCTTCTTGTTATATAAGTTGCCGACAACCGTGTTAGTTGAAAGGAATTGGGAGGGGGGTGATGGGGGGAAAGGGTGGTGGGGGGAAAAACGAAGATCTTCTTGGGAAACCGCCAAGGGGCCCAGGCAGTGGCGGCGTGGGGCGCCGCGTTCGGAGCGAGACGCAGACGCCGGGAGCGCCATCGACGCGTCAGTGAGAGCCGCCTCGGCCGTCTCCTGCCGCTCGCCTCGTGCACAAGACGAGAGAGGAGAGAAGACCAACCTCCCCCCCTCCCCCGCCAGCACACACACACCCACACGCGCCGTTACAATTATGGTGCTAATCCTCTGCATCTGCCTGCGATGGTGGCGGGCGGTGGGAGGGTGTAAAGGGTTAAGACGACAGATTGGGTGTATTTCTCCAGCGGGGGCTTATCACGCACGGTTCGGTAAGCACGCAGCCTTCACGCGATGCGAGGTGGCATTAGGACGGGCGAGCAATTTGCGTATTAAAAATGCAAGCCGGGGCCGGCGGCGGGCGAATTGTAACTCGCGGATGTGAACTGCGCGGCGGGTGTAGGAGGCATAGAAGAGTGGCATCGCGAGATAGAGTGAGTGAGAGTGATATAGAGAGTGAGTGAGAGATAGAGTGAGTGAGAGATAGAATGAGTGAGAGATATTGAGAGTGAGAGATCGAGTGAGAGAGTGAGTGAAAGATACAGAGTGAGAGAGTGAGAATGATAAATATAGAGAATGAGAGTGAGCGAGTGATATAGAGAGTGAGAGAGAAAGTGAGAGATAGAATGAGTGAGAGGTATTGAGAGTGAGAGAGAAAGATAGAGGAGAGATCGGGAGGATACAATCCTCGTGGGCGGAGCGCGGTGATGCACGGGGTAGGAGAGGGAGAGGATGTGTTCGCATATCCGACTCGGAGAGATCCGTAGTGGCGCTGCTCGGGCAGATGGCTGCCCCGGATTACGGACACTTTTTCTGTCACCCCCTACCCCCCCCCCCCTGGTTTTTGTATTTGAGCGGAATGGGACATGACGTTTTAATTACTTTTATAATGAGCTGCGAACAGCTAAAGCGGTGTCGCAGAGGCAGTCGCTATTAGGGCGGATTGTGCGCAGGGAATAGACTCCTCGGTCTCGGAGATGAAGAAGGGACGAGAGGACGGAGGAGCGAATGGGGATGGAGACTTCGTGAGCCTTGCAGCAGCTGGGGTGGGTGTGGATTATTTTAGGCTGGCGTAGAACGGACACGTAACGGAATAATTTGCCCCATCTCCACCAATTTATTTATTTTACCTCCGCAACATTAGGTGCGGAGACGATAACGATTACGTGTATTTTTTAGGTGTCTGTGTGTGTATGTCTGTGTGTATATGCGGGGAGCGGTAGTGTAGTGGTTAGCGTGCTGCGCTATGAACCTAGCGACCCGAGTTCTATTCCCGCTCACGGCCAATACCAGCGACGATTATTTGATCTGGTCCCGGGCCTCCCCTAGGCCGACTCAGCCTCAAATGTGTAGACATAGCTACTGGGGAGACAAAGGCGGTCGGGCGTGGTGCTGGCCACCCATAGGTGCTCGCTAACAGCACTTGCCCCTACAGTATGTTAATGCTACACGGGGGATCTTTGTGTGTGTTTATTTTCCTCTGCACGGCTGCTGTCACCCTGCTGTCAGTCACCCCGCCCTGGCTCGAGGAGACATTCGCTTGCTTTTATTGATTCCTTAAAAAACACACACACGTGTCTTTACACGCGCGCCTTGAACTTCTCTCGCACCGCACGTGGCCAGCGGTGCGCATCGGAGGTGCGCCGCACGTGTGCCCCGTGCGCTGCAGAGTCGACGATCCAACGTTGGACTCCGGCCTGGGTCTCGGCAGGCGACGGCGAGAACCACGGTGGAACTCGACCGTAGAGTTTGCGATCCACCGCAGAGGTCAAACATTTTGTCGAAGGGTCCTTGCAGTTGTTACGCTTTGCCGCGAGGGCGATGCACTTGCACCACTCCGATATGTCGAGGTCAGCTTCGTCAGCCACCGGGTTTGGTATTCAGCAGCGCACCCAAGTCTCTGTGAACATGTTTTTTTGAAATGATCTCAGCCTGCGTCTTCGTTCACATCTCGTGGAATTCCTCTCGCCGCAGTCGGCCACGCTTCTTGGCTCGCCGGGTTGTGAGACCGCAGTCGCGTTCATCATCTCGCTCGATGAGTTCCATCCGCCCAGAGTCATCATTGACTGCGCATTCTTTTTGTTACAAAAACTCTTTGTTGACAACAAATATTCTCATCGCTAATTTAGAAATGTATGGATGTATGTTGAAACTTCCTTCGCACCGTACGTAGGCCAACCACGCTAATCGTACGACTGCTGCTCGACACGTGTTGTCTCTGCGTTAAGGGAAAGTGCTGCTGCTGCTGCTGTCGCTGCTGATTAGCGAGGTTATCGGTCCGGCTCGGCACGCGCTGATCTCATGCCCAGCCACACGATGGAGCAGCGGGGGTGGGGGGCACAATAACAGCGATGGGGACGCTCACAAATTGTGCGCCTCATCCCCCACACCACCACCGCGTGTGCACAAGCTGGTCGTGGTGGTGGCGGCAAGTGCTTACGCGACGAGGGCAAATTGAAAAGCGCGCATTCGAATCCGCGGAAAGCGAGACACGTTTCAAGTGAAATGCGCCGTTGATGGAGCCATATGGAGAGCATCTGGCTGTGAACGTCGCGGACGGAGTTCGCGAAGCGCGCGGCCGTCAACAACCGCCGCGAGCTTCGCCCCGACGACTCCGCCGCCCCCGCGACGAGGAGCGCCTCGGGGCGCGCCGCCCTCGCGGCGTCTCGAACGCGCGCGTGGGGAGCGGTGGCGCAGCGGATTGAGCGCACTGCGCTCCCGAGAAGCTATGCAAGCGAACTGAGCTGCGTGACTGTTTTGCAGAAGCGGCCTGGCCACACGAAGTGGCGTTTCATCACGTGGGAATTTATAGCAGCCAAATACTGTGAACGCGCGATGTTGATAATTGCAAATGTGCAGGGGGAAACCGGAGGGTCTAGAGATAAAACCCACGCGACCAAGGAGAGAGAGACAGAGAGAGAGACGCAAACTCCTAAATATACAGCAGCAGGCGTCACAGTCGGGATGGGACCCACCGTTGCAGGTGTGTGCCCCATAGTGCAGCAGAGTGCAGCAGTGTGCAGCGTGGTGCAGCATCGTGCATAAGTGTGTGCCCTGGTGCATCAGCGTTGCGCCGTCATGCATCATCGTGCAGCAGTGTGCAGCCGAGTGCATCAGCGTTGCACCCTGGTGCAGCAGGGTGCAGCGGGGAGTCGCCGTCTCGTGCGTGGCTGTAGGCTTAGTGCCGGGTTTCATACTCTTAGTTTTTTCGGTAAAGTCACGTAGGTAAAAAATGAAATGAAAATTAATAAAAAATAAAATAATAATAATAAATGTAATTACATTTTTAACCTACGTGACTTTACCGAAAAAACTAAGAGTATGAATCCTTGCGGTCACGAAAGCTTCAAATCTAGAATTAGTGCCGGGGCGCAGTGACTTTTGACGGCCTCGGGCTCGCAGTAAAGCGGCAGGGTGCATCGCCGCAGATCCGCATGCGGAGCTGCGCTTTTGGAGCGAATCCACGGCAACGCGACCAGGATGTCTGACGACTTGAGCTTCGCCAACACTCAGAGGGGCGACACAAAGCACCGCGAGTGTTGGAGCGATATGCCCCGCTAAGTAAGTGTCAGGCCGTTGTTGGTGTGGGCTTATAGGTGCAAGAATCAAATGTCCCAGCCCCCACCCGCCCATACCTCCTCCCCCCTGTCCATAGCCAGGCACCTGGGCTCCTCTAGAACTGGGGCCTCTGTGCAGTTGCACCGCCTGCACACTCGATAGTTACTCCGTTGCTAGAGAGATCGACAGTTTAATACATGCGCGTGTGGAATCGGGTGGGAGCATGTGGGTCACGTGTTAGGACTTGCGTCACGTGGACCGTAACCTGTAACACCTGGATCGTCAGTCCTGTGACCTATCGGTGAGCCTTTGACACTTCAAGGTGGCATCAATTTGCACCTAGCCTGGCACAAGTATTGTGATGACATCACCGCTAGGTAGTGGTGAATGATGGTTGTTGTTGTTGTCGTGTATATGTGTGTGTGTGCACAACGAGTGTCACCTTTTAAGTTGTCTTTCCATTCTTATTTAGATTGTGCAGCGAGCATCAGGTCACGCGATGCTGAGAATTGCATTGTGCAGCAGTGCATCACCTTACTAGGGAATGTCCCAAGTAAGGAGATGTTATAGAAGTTTAAGTGATTACTCATGCACACTCGTGCAAGTGTCGCCTGGCAAGAAAATCAACATTGTTTCTTCTGTGGAGTCTATGAGTCTCTGTGTGTGAGTTTATGGGTATCTGTGTGAGACTCTGGGTCTCTGTGTGAGTCTATGGGTCTGTTAGTGAGTCTATGAGTAAATGTGTGAGTCTATGCGTCTCTGTGTGAGTCTATTCTCTAGGTGAGTCTATGGGTCTGTCGGTGAGTCTATGAGTAAATGTGTGAGTCTATGGGTATACAGGTACCTCTATGTGTCTTATAGGTGAGTCACTGGGTCTCTGTGTGAGTCATTGGTGACTGGCCTGAGACAACCAACTCGCTAAACCTGAGAACCCGAAGTTATCATGGGCAGCGGCTGAAATCCGGATTCGAACCCAGGGGTCTAAGTGGAGCTGGCTCAGCCTCTCTGATGTCTGAGCTACTCGGGGGCCACCACCTCTGAGTGAGCGGCATTCGAAAGCCTGGAAATTGGCGGCGAGGCGCAATCAGCCAGGGCTGCGTGAGAGCGACAGAAGAAATATGCGATGTACGTGACGGGCAGGTTGACAGGGCACGGGTGTGCGCTCTGATAATGGCGTGGCTGCTGCTAGGCCTGACGTCTGCAGTGGCGTTTTATCGCCTCTCCCTCTGAATGTGGCTCACTCCCCACTGAGCCTGGCTCACTCCCCTCTGAGCCTGGCTCACTCCCCACTGAGCCTGGCTCACTCCCCTCTGAGCCTGGCTCACTCCCCTCTGAGCCTGGCTCACTCCCCACTGAGCCTGGCTCACTCCCCACTGAGTCTGGCTCACTCCCCACTGAGCCTGGCTCACTCCCCACTGAGCCTGGCTCACTCCCCACTGAGCCTGGCTCACTCCCCACTGAGTCTGGCTCACTCCCCCCTGAGCCTGGCTCACTCCCCACTGAGCCTGGCTCACTCCCCACTGAGCCTGGCTCACTCCCCGCTGAGCCTGGCTCACTCCCCGCTGAGCCTGGCTCACTCCCCGCTGAGCCTGGCTCACTCCCCTCTGAGCCTGGCTCACTCCTCACTGAGCCTGGCTCACTCCCCAATGAGTCTGGCTCACTCCCCACTGAGCCTGGCTCACTCCCCACTGAGCCTGGCTCACTCCCCAATGAGCCTGGCTCACTCCCCACTGAGCCTGGCTCACTCCCCACTGAGCCTGGCTCACTCCCCAATGAGCCTGACTCACTCCCCACTGAGCCTGGCTCACTCCCCTCTGAACCTGGCTCACTCCCCGCTGCTCACTCCCCACGCCCAGGATGGGGGCGCGCTGCAGGTTGACGGGTGACAGCCGCGGCGTGGCGCGCTCGACACGCGGGTTCACCGCAGGTGAGCGACGGCGCTCTGATTGACATTGATTCTTACACTCAACAGCACCGCGGGGCATCGACTCGCTCGCGCAAGAGACGGCGTATTAAATCGTGGACGTTGCACGCAATACGGTTCACGTGAATATCTGCAGCCGCTAGCGCAGCGGTGGAAAGGACTCGAAGTCCCACGGGCTGGAGACGGCCCGCCACTCCGTGGCTCCAGCCCCACGGACTCAGGAGGCCGACCACGTGGTACGGGCTGCAGGCGGGGGTCTCCCCGTCACCGCGAGCATCGTAGCCGGCGGCCTCCTTGGGAACCGCGCCGTGCGTGTCACGTGACGGGGCTCAGCTGGCGCGCGCCTGGCTGTGGTGGTGCAGGAGAAGCGAGGAGACGATGGTCGAATGGAAGCTGCAAGCGGGGTCTGGGTGCTTTATGGTGTCCTGAGTGTGGTGTGAGACATTAGAGTCGGATGGGTTGGTGCGTGAGGTGTGAGATGTAGGTGGCTGGTGGGTAGGGAGTGGAGTGAGTAGGATTGACTCATGGTTTGGGGTACCAGGAACACATTCAAACTCGACAGACCTGTTCTACACCTGAGGACGGCTGCTTGCGTTGTGGCCGAAACGTCGTGAGAATTATTTTATTATGTTTTATTTGTATTATTTTATTATTTCCATTCTACGTGACTTTACCGAAAGAACCAAGAAGATGGTAAATCTATTTTTAGGAGGGGCCTTCAAGATCCAATGCGCCGGGCTGCAGCCCCGATGAGGTGCCCAGAGCGGGTGAGCGAGGAGGCGTTCGTCTGCGCCGCGTGCCCGACTCTCACCGCGGTCAGGTATCGTGGGCGGTACTGCAGCGCTCCGAAGAGGCCCAGGATGAGCATGAGGATGTGCAGGAAGTTGGCGAGGATGGGCGCCCACTGGTAGCCCAGGAAGTCGAAAATCTGCCGCTCCACGGCCGTCACCTGTCGCGCGCAACGGCACAGGGAGAGGGGGGTGGCGTGAAAGCGGTCGTGAGAGTGGCGGCAAGACAGACGGATGGGGAAGGAAAATCATGCGCGCGCGTGGATTCGCACTCATCGACGCGCGTGCCTCCTCGGAGGAGGCGTTTGATCGCTCGCTCCGTTCGCAGCTGGACGAGATGTCACCGCGGCGCTTGAGGTGTGACACCGCGAGGTGATCTCACGCGTGATGAAGTCGTCACCTTGGCGAATTCTTTAAGCGCTGGGGTTTTTGTAACCACCAAGTTCTAAGCAACCAATTAGACTTAAAAAAAACATGTAACCCTACATTTAGAATCGTAGTTCAATTCATCCTTATATTATTATTATTCACATTTAGTCGTGAGTTAGAGGCACTCCGAAGCGGTTTTCTGTAAGTGCAGATATTCATCCTCCTATCCGTAGGTTTTGTTTTATTGCGGAGAAGAAGAGTGACCCAGAAGCGATGGAGAGTTCATCCTCTAATCCGCGTCTATCCGTGGAAAACCTCGCTTCTATATATTATTTTCATTTTCACGAAAATGGTCCACCAAGAGCGCCCTCTTCTGCGGCTTTAGCACCTTCCCCGCCTGGCCGCTGATCTCTTGGTAACAACCCGGGGCCCGTTTGTCGTGGGGAGTCTTTGCTTGCCACGGTGTTACTCGGAGCATCTGATTTATTGGCTCAGATAACCGAGGATGCAGCATCGCAGGGAGCGAGCGCCTTCCGCACTGGGCGCCGTGCGTAATGGGTTTTGGTCGTAAAACGTCTACGATGGTTAAAATCGTTTTTCTTTTCTTTAACATTCCCGGCAACAGCGTGGATAAAACAAACACACAAACTTAAAAAAAAAACTAATGTTTAACGGGTTTGCGCCACGTGTACAAACACAACACGTTTATCTTATAAACTCACAGATACAGGCAACTGCCGCAGCGGCGAAATGCCGAGCAGCGCCACTGGACTTGCAATCCAGAGGACCCCAGTTCAATTCCATCTCCCGGCGTGGAAGTTCAAACAATAGCGCTAGTTTCCTACACCGCCCCCCCCCCATCAACTCTCTCCATCCAGCGGTACGCATGGTCGACGAGCAAGGTCGCGCCTGGTGGGGCAGAGTGTGAGTACGCCCACCTCTTACGACTAAAATTCCACGCGGAATCGGTCACTGGTCCCTGTTCGGTAAAAACCGGCCGTAGATTCTGAAATATCTCGGAAGGAGTGGGCGCACCCACACTTTACCCCACCGCACGCGACGCGCGATCGACTAACAGCGGACAGTGGTGGACGTCTTTGTACCCCTGGGCGGACAGAGGCGGTAGAGCCGGGGGGGAGGGAGATAATTTAAGAACCTTTCGCCATTCTTAGAGTGCCGCGCCGAGAGATCGAACCAAGCCGGCGACCAGCGCGCCAGCTATTACAGCACCTTAGCATCCAGCTGTCTGTCGTTCGATATTCATCTTGTCCGCGTGCATGACGTGTCCCGGTTTTTTCGTCGTCGTCGCCGTCACCGCTGTTGTTGTTCCGTGACAGGTGGCAACCCAATTTGCTCCGCGAGAGGCCATGGCCGGGAACGGTGACGGCGACAGGGACTCCGTCTCCGAGCCGGAGGCGGAGTGGGGTTAACAGCGCCGCGACATCTTAATGCAATCACTGCGGCGGTCCCAGCGTTCCATTATCACTTCGCGTTTCTCATCAGGACCTAACGCGTCCCGCGGGATGCGAAGGGAGGCAGGTGCGGAGCGGGTTTTTTTTTTCTTTCGTGAAACGTATTTATTTATTTGCTTCTTTTTGTTGTTGTTGTTGATGCCCGGGCTTTGCGCTATGCGCTCTGCTGCCGCCGTGCGCTCTAACGGGTTAATCCGGGACGCAACCGCAAAATCATCATCATCGACACCATCAGAAGCAGCAGCAGCAGCACCATCAGCGTAAGACACCGGGAGAGAGCATTGTCACGCCGATGGCTCGTGATCAGAAGGCGCCTTTTTGTGATCGTAAAATACCTCGCCGCAACATTTCACACAACGTATGAGCGGTGCTGTTGTACGGCGCGTGTGAGCACCGAGGACTATAACAGAACGAGTGCATTCAACACGCAGCCCTTCGCGATGAATTCATAATCGTTTTTGTGGACCACACCGCCTGAACAAAAGAAATGCTTGTCATAAGCCCCACCCCGTCCACCCGATACGGTTGTCACGTGATGAACACACGTGCCAATGTTTTACTCCTTCAGAACACCGTCGTTGCGTTAAATGTTCAATAATGTTATACAATGTTGAACAATCTTACCAAATTGTGATATGGATTTCTCCCCAACATACCTGTGTGCTAAAGCAGTCATACATTTGGCACGCTTACGTGACGACTTTATTGATTGTCTGTGTCGCGTGGAGGAGAGTTTGTGACACAGCATTTTAATTGCAAGATCAAACCCAAAAATCAGTAACGAATCGAACCCGGGAGGCTGGCGTGCATGTATGTGGAACTTCTTTCGCACCGCACGTAGCCAACCACCATGCTATTCGGAGAGTGCGTCGAGTAGCGCGCTAACCGCTGCACCACCACTCCCCACCGCCGCGCTCATGCAAATTTCATCACCAGTCGCTCGGCCTTTCCCATTTAAATGTTAACAACAACACAAGGTTCGGGGGGGGGGGGGAAGGTTCGTTCATTTATATTTGTAGAATTCCTGACCTCCGCCGACCTCCCAGAGCACACACCTTCAATCGGAGATTATCTCGCAGCCGCTGATATTTTGACTTTAACTCAGCACCGCGCTCGCAACGCCGAGCGTACGTCACTCCACTGCTGGACGAGTGGCCCGTCCGCTCGCTCGACCCTGCGGGTCGCGGGGTGATGATTCGTTCGCCACGTCCAGCCACGTCGGCCAGTGCGGGTTGATGAGGGCGGGGAACGCAGACGTGACAGCAGAGTACAGTACAACAATGGAGTGTTGCTTCACTGCCCTCTGCCACCGCACAGCAGCCCGTAACGCCTGTGCCGTGCGGCGCGCGTCCGTCCAAGCACTCTCTCGGCTCAAACCCGCTCAGCGTCCCAGATCTGACAATCAGATCGCGACCGTTCCGGGCGATTTGGATCATAGGCAGCAACACACCGAGCATGGGAGCTGTATTCAATTAAGTTCCTAAAGAAGCTCCCAGCACGTGGTACGAAACGTCGGGCATCGTGCCGAGCAACCGGAGAGCACCGCGGAGATGGGGTGGCTTCTTTCACGGGGGGGGGGGGGGGGGGAGCGGTGGCGACTGGGACAGCAGCCGAGGAATCTGAGAGTCGTTGGCGTCAGTGGCTCTGGCTGGCGGAGGGGAGCTGAGGGGGGTAAGGGGGCAGCTGCTGCCCAGGACAGGTGCAGGGTGAAGGTTCGCTACCCTCCCCATGGGGCAGGAATTTTGGGCCGAGACCGTTTGGCGGTCTCAGACCACGCGCTCGCCCGGTGCCCACCGCACACGCTCGCACCCGTGTAGCTGTCACACGGACAGCGTGCCAGATGTAGAACGGAATGCTGCACTGCGTGTGTGTGCGTGTGTGTACGTGTGTGTGTGCGTGTGTGTGCGTGTGTGTGCTCGCTAACAGCACTTGCCCTTACAGTCTGTTAAGGCTACACGGGGGATCTTTGTATTTTAGTGTCAGGGCCGCTGACAGGGTGCGGGAGTCGTTGTTGTTCGGCGAGCGAATGGCTCCAGTTGGTTTCGTCACAGACAGACGACGGCACCAAGAGGCAGACCGAGACACTTGCCAAGGGGGCAGCAATTCTGAAATGTCAAGAGTGCAAAAAATAATGCCCTTTGTTTTCCATACCAAAAAAAATAGCTAATGTACTTTCTCTGTCAATAATAACAATCCACTCCCGCCCGGACGACCATGGATCCACCCCGCATCTGTGTTGTCCATCAACAGCAACAAGTCAACACGTACATCAATAACACCGCCCTAATATACAAGCATTATATATATCAGGTGGCGTTTCAGGCAACGGCTCTTCTTCAGAGTAGTAGTGTGTGATTGACAAACGTGTTAAAGTTGTATATTGCTGTTGTATTGTTATTTGTGCGTGTGCACCACTGCCAACAACAGAGCACCGCGAGATCTTAGTGGGTTTTTTATTAAATCGTCTCCAGCCTTGTTTGGCTGCACGGAGACCACCCATCCGAGAACGATCCGGGTTCAAGCTGCCCGGATCTGACGATCTGCCGCAGGCGACACCCGGGCAGGCTACGAGGACACAATCTATCACGGTTGCGATCTCTGCACTTTAACAAACCACGCACACAATTCGCCCAATGCTTTACGGCCGGGCTTTGCCGTAAAACGTGGAACATTTTCGCCTGGAAACGTGGTGCGGTGCGATTCGCTCGGGCGGTCATCGGATCGGCGCCGTGATGAAGACGCTTCGGAACAAAGGGAGGTGTCCGGTAAATCCCGCCGTGATTTCCTACGCGGAGCTCCACGGCTCAGCCAACGTCAAATCCCGTGTCCGTGGGCCCCATTCGCCCACGAATTATTGAGCCTCAACAACAACACGCAGGGGAAAAAAGGGGGGGGGGTCCATCGCCGCCTCCCCCTCCTCCTGCTCCTGCTCCCAATCGCTGGGCCCGAACGTCGGACGCCACCCTCCCCCCCCTTCATCCCCCCTTCATGTCCCCCCTTGATCCCCCCTCCACCCCCCCCTTCATGCCCCCCCTTGATCCCCCCTCCATCCCCCCTATCACCCCCCTCCATCTCCCCCCTCCATCCCTCCATTCATGCCCCCCCTTGATCCCCCCTCCATCCCCCCTTCACCCCCCCTCCATCTCCCCCCTCCATCCCCCCTTCACCCCCCCCCTTTGATCCCCCCCTCCACCCCCCCTTCACCCCCCCCTCCATCCCCCCCCCCTTCATCTCAAGCGAATCGAGAAGGCGGAACACTGCGGCCCTGACGTGCACGAGAGTGATTCGGTACAACGTTCATTAACTCGCAACAGTTCATT